TCGATTTTCCAAGCCAGCAGGTGGTTCCTCTGCTGGTCCTGGAACATCAGCAGCAGAGCAATCCCCGCTCCACAGTCACACAGGTCAGCGCAGGGGTTTCGCCTGTCTTGTAAAGGTTACGGTCTTATACTTATGGAAAGTATGCCATCTGTGTCTGCCCTTACGTTTAGAGCTGTTGCGGATTCCAGTCCATGGACTGGCAAAGTTGAGCAAACAGCGCACACGCACAGGTAAAGAGCTACCGGCAAGAGCGCGCTCGAAGCTCGGATGCGGGGCCGCGCTGTTCTTCTTTTGGAGACACGAGTAACAACAAAACGAGACCATACCAGGGCAGAATTCCTTGGACTTGACTTCATGCTAGGACTTGTCGAAGCTTTTTGTTCCTTCGGCGCATGACATCGAATACGTGCAACAGTACTGCGAAAATGACAGCTTGACTCTGACAAAACGGGGCCGGATGCCTGCCGTTCGTTCTGTTGCCGGGTACCCCAGACCCCAAGTCCAAATGGCGACTTGCTACGTAGGGCCCCTCGACCTCCAAAATCCTCAAGCTACTGAGCCCTACACTTGAAACCACTAAAGCCTTATAAACTTGAAACCCCTACACCCTAACCCCTAAACTACCACCAAACTCTTAAGCCCAAGATCCTTCCTGGCCGAGAGAACTTCCCACCCTCGGAATGGAACTGACATGGCCCAGGTCGCAAAAATCTTGCGGGAGCGGTCCATTTTTTCGAACACCTCACAGGATTGCCTCGCAGTCATAGCAGTATTGTGATTACGACAGATCTTCGTTTGGTAGAAGTAATCATGTTGTGTCGAATAGAGGTATATACTAAAATCATCATCAGCAGTGGCAATGGTGTAATGAATGGCAGTGGTAAGGGCTTTTGTGGTATTGCCGAAAATGGTATTGGTCCAACTAGTATTACTAGGAACGGTGGTCGGCATGAGCCATGATAGCCGGACTGATGAGAGGAGTGGGAAACGTGTGCGACATCAGTCGCAGCCGGGCTAGTGGATGCTAGCCGTGAGAGTGGTTTGTATGAAACCTATTCCTATCACTGACCTTTTTCGCATATTAGCCCAAGCAGTGAATCAGGCCTTCACAGTATATGCCACTCTTGATACGTTACATGGTACTCACAGCACCACAATCCTTGCTTGCATCTTATTCTCTTATTCAGCCGCTTCTTCATCTACAACCCTTAAGTCTGTGACAGGCCCAGATCTTGTTACATGTTCCTCTACTCGAAGTAAAGAGTCATATCCAGGATCTGGCAGCGGTCTACTGTCCCGGCATATGACCTTCAGTCTGCGACACTACAGAAGCCGCACACTATGTTGACACTGTACTCTGCTCGCGCCATCTCACCATCGACTGGATGCTCGTTCCATTTCCGTGAGGACTTCTTGGCGGAGATCCTCAATTTTGGGACGGTCCGAGTGACTTGGATGTGACGCTTGTGACTTTTCTGAGAAAGCCACGGGAAATTGAGGGAGAGTAGAACAATCGTAAAAATCACTATAAACGAAGACTGAGCGTGATAGCGAGAGTATGCATGATGGCAATGGTAGTAATGATCCGGGCAAGGTAATTGGTAATTGATAATACAAACAGTCAAAACAACAGTCAACTTTAACAGCGGCAATAAGAATATTAAAGATAACGGTAGTAATAATGTTGGCAATGACAGTGATGATGGCAATGATAGTAGTGGTGGGCACAGTCATAACAATTCCAGTTTTAAGAGTAGCATCGGCAATAGTAATGCTGCATTTCGAGCGAGAACAGCAGTGGTCCTAGTATGAGTAGAAAATAGCAGTGATAGTCACACCAGAAACAGTAGTGATGATCATGATAGGCATCGCAACATCGGTAGAAACTGGGTAACACCCACAGCCACGACAACAGTAACAGTAACAAGAATATCTAACAGGCATTTTCATCATCACCACCATCATCATCAGTATTACAAATATTACCACTGTTATGATCATGAAACATTACATATTGTCTTCCATCTGTCTCCTCCTTCCGACTCCAGCGGTTATGAAGCTCAGGGACCTCCGAAGTAACCCCATGCCGGGAGACCCTCAAACTAGTATCTAGATTCAAAAAGGAGCCTTCTACATATGTCAGCAGAGGTTTCTAGAATTAGTGACCCGAAACGGCAAATCTCACTTGCTGCCGCTTGAAAAATATCGCTTCGCTTTGGGGAACGTGTCCTGCCAACCTCAGAAACTCAATGCTAATCTCTCGCAGACACAGCAGGAAGGAAGTCACAGAGGGTTGGACAAACTCGACTGGAAATTTCGGAGTACATCATAGTGAAGTTGTATAGTTGTAGGAATGATGTTGCTAATTTGGGAGACTCCCATGTTCCTGAAACATGGAGGTGGCTTGTACAGAATGCTCGGGGGGTCGGAGGAGGGGACTCCAGGTGAGTCCAGGCAGAGCACGGTTCCGGAGCATCTACATATATGTATACATATATATATATGTATATAACTACAGTGGTGTATATACATATTTATTTATTTTTTGTACATTTATTTAGAAATTTATGTTTTGTGTATGGCAGATATAGTCTAATTTTATAGTGTGTGTGTATACATACGTATATATATATATCAATACATATATATATACATATACATACATACATACATACATACATACATACATACATACATAGATATCTGTATATGTATATATATATATATGTATAGTAAAAAATCATGTATATACAGCTGATCTGCCCCCATGCATGCACCTCACTCCACAGTGGTTGGGATTCGCTGACTTGCTACAAAATCGTGCATCTGGGTTTTACGAGAATCTGCCGAAAAAGCGCAATCTCCATGTGGTTCCAAAGGCATTCTCCTACTGCTGTGCTCATCCAGAGGCAGTTCAGCAAGTCGGAACTCCCCCTAAAGCAGCAAGGTATTTATGCCCGGGGACCGCATCATCCAGCAGGCCAGACGGGACCATCTTGACTTTGGAAATGCTTTGTCGTTGTCCGCGTAGCACTTTGCAGTTGGCGGAGTTTTCGCAAAAGCGGGCAGAGTTTTGCACTGCCAAGCCTGAAATAGACAGATATGATATTCCACACTCTCACGCGTATTCGTCAGAACGTGCAAAGCTTGCATGCCGAGTCGATACCTTATCCTGCAACTTCAAAGCTTCAAGCTTTTCCTGTCTAGCCTGCGCTTCTGCGGTTTCGATGCACGTTTGCTTGAGGGTACGCTTGGCACATTACCAGTCCTGAAAGCCTGCAAGCATCCAAACTTCCGCGAGGGTGCCGAGGGCAACTCCATGTTCATTCTTTCTGTTGGCATGGCAGAAGCGGGGGCCCCCAATGCTTCCGGCAAGAAACTTGCAAGGCTTTTTCTAAAGGTTTTAGATTGCAGAAACAGCCTGAGCAAGAGATCTGGGCTCCTGAAGTGCCCAAGACTGCGTGTGGTTCATGTCCCATGTTCTTCAGGTAATGTAGGGCCTCAAGAATGGTCAATACTTCGGATTGATTGATCCAATCAGTCTAAGGTGGTGAAAGAGAGCCTGGAGGAGTACGCTGGCATCTTGCTGAGGAACCGGTTAGGGTATAGGGTTTAGGGTTTTGGGCGGGCTGGAGTTGGGGCCCTGGGCTCTATTAGCTCTGAGATTTAAGCTCAGAACTACACCGGCCCATGCAGGAATCTCCACTTCATCGGGGGTCTCACCTATGGAAGTGTTTTCGGTGAGCTGGTTATGCTGGGCGTGCAGGCGCACCTGCTGCTATTCTGGTCTCGCTTTGTGTGTATACAGATGCATGTGTGCATATAAATATATCTGTGCTATGTACATATGGCACATCTTCCGCATAGTATATCCAAGACAGGCGGTTTGAAGCATAGTCGATGCCTGTCGTGAGTCCCGCAACTCATGCCCAGCCACGGCCGGTCATGAGATCTACAGACCGCAGAATCCGGAGACTTGGAGCCGAACTTGAGCCCCTGCATGTATGTATAAACCACGCAGAACCATTAAAGCAACTACAGTAGCAGCAGCAAGAAGTTCTACCTCGCTCTAGGGATTCCTTGAGAGGGTCGGAGGTCAAGAGATCCGACGGCTCAGGGCCTCGGGTATTCCAAGACCGTCAGGCTCTCATAGATCTCTGAGTCTACGAGACCCTATAGAATCCTAAACCATAAAACCCCAAAGCCCTAAACCCTAAGCCTTAAACGCCTAAACCCCTAAGCCCTTTCCTTTCTTTAGCCTCGTCTTCGGCCAACCTGGCCGCCTGCCAGTCGAAGCGCACCGCCTCCATCATTGCCAGCTCCACGTGCTGCACGTGGAAGGTGGCCTCCGTCGCTGAGGGATTCACTTTGGAGCCCTGAGTAACATTTGCAGGCTCTCTAGGCTGCAGAGATGTCGTTGAGATGTCCGATCAGTCTGTGCCAGCAGCTGTGCTTCGGGGGCTGTTCAGATTGGAGGTTCCGTGTCGAGCAGGTGGAATGTAAGATGCATGTTTCCGCAGCTTGTCTTATTTCCTGGATGTTCACCATATGCGCAAAGCTCATGAAGGCTCACTTGCAGAAAGAACGGCACAAGCTAGCATTCTGCCATATTCTGCCCAATACAACTTGGCATTCTGTTCATGTGCAAGGTTTGCCTGATAGGTTGTGAAGTGTTTTCGCACAAAATCTCGCCTGACAGACGTAAAGCACACACCGTCGGCCATGCAAAGAGGATCAGTTGCCTGAAGGTCCTGTACCCTGACAGCACTAAGAAGGAGGGAAGGCGAACACAAGCATGCAGTAACGGTACGTGCTGAGCATGGCGACATGGCTGCACAGGCCAGGAGCTCAGCCAGGGTGCAGTGCTGTGCCCCAAAGTGACCAGAAACAGAGAGGAGCAAACGCTGGCCGCGTCGTTTTTGCTACATATCAAGTCCTCTCCATCTGTGTGTATACGAGTTGCTTTAAAAACAGCACGCAGTTCGCCTCGCCGGCCTAAGGCCAGGGAAGGCATATGCGGAGAGCAACGCCGAAGGCTCTCACGGTTCTGCGTAGCCCAATTGAGGAAACTGGGTGCCAGGGGGTTGTGGGCTCTGCTCTTGGCATGGAGCGGTCTGGGAGGCTCCTCTTGGGCAACTTTCTGGGGAGACGATGCCAAGGCGCCAGCAGTGCCCCTCTCCGCTTGGGTTTGGACTTGTTTCGCACTGAACCACATGGCAAGTGGTGCTTCTTGAATGCTCCGTCGAAGGGGCCCGTGCACTGGCTGCCCATCTCAGGGCCTACAGCTCAGTATTAAGACTATAGTAATACATAAAAAAATAAATGAATAAATATACAAATGAACAAATGAATAAATAAATGAATAAATGAATATATATATATACACATATATATATATATAGTAATGTAGTAATCTAGTACCCATGGCGTTTGCTAAGACTCCTGCAAGTTACAGCCATGCCGCAGGCGGCCGTCGGTCTTCCAACTGGCGCAGGCACTCCGATGCAGGCCTTGGGCAAAAATCTTTATATTATAGTATATTGTATTATATTGTTTTATGCTATATATATATATATTATTTTATATTATGTTATAACATATTATATTAAAATATATCATATCATATCATATTGTTATATGTTCATTGCTACTACAATCACTGTTAAGTACTGATGCCGTTAGTATCTCAGGTAGTCTGGTCTAAGTGTCAATTATCGTATGAGTATTACTAGTTACTAGTGCGCCGCTGGCCGGAATGGAGTGATTTGGTAGCTGTTGCACCTTATTTCCATCATAGTGACCTAGTGACGCGAAGACTTGCAAACACTGAAGCACCCCTTGCAAGACTTCTCCTGTAGTCATGACCAGCAACCTCCGCGACGCCGAAACTCCCCAGTCCGGACAACTAGGAGAAGAACAACATGAGCAACTACCGTATCCTCGGGTAAACCAACAAGCATGCCTGAGCCTGTCGGACAATCCCTCAGGATTTCCCAAATATACCTAAACAGTGTTTAGACCTAGCCTGAATCCTACACCACCCTCCTGTACCCTGTACCCTAAACCTTATAAGCCTCATGAACCCTAAACCCTCAACCCAAAACCAGGACCTGCCCATGAGGGAGCTGGAAGCTTCGTGACTCCCCTTCGCCGCAGGTCGTCATGGCGCGCACCGAGGGTCAGGTCGGACCCCGCTGAAGTGTCACGGAAGCTGTTTACCTACTATGCAATACAAAGCACATTTATAATAATACAGAATAGTACAGTACATAATACATTATAACATGGATTGTCTAATACAGAATAATAGTTATAATGCTATACTATACTGTACTATGCTATACGATACTCTACTCTACTATACTATACTATAATAGTATATCATATAACATTATACTACACGATACTATAATATAAGATAGCATAACATAACAGGATGAAATATGATACGAATCCATATACTGTAACATAGTATAGCATCATGATACATTCGAACAAAACACACAACACACCATGGTGTTTGTTTATAACACATAATACCCAGTAAGTACATATATGTATAACATAACATGTAACATGTACTTTGTGCTATGTAGTAATAATGACAATTATGATAGTGATAATGATAGCAATAATAATACATACACACACTTTTTGTGCCACATAGTACATAAAAATACATAACATACTTTGGGTTTAGAGCCATGGGTTTAGGGGTTTAGGGGCTATAGTCCTTGGCTGGCGCCTCGATGGAGGGCAGCCAGTGTAAGTCGTGAGCACAGAAACCTACCTTTCAGGGTCTACTTAGAGGGTCGTGAGTAGTCATAAGTGGGACTATAAGTAGGACAACTAGAGTTATAGCGCAGATATTAGAGGACTTCTAACCCTACTTGTACTACCTATTATTATCGTAGGACAACTAGAGTTTTGTCCCATATAAGGGGACTTCTAGCCCTGCTTATAACTACGCAGAAGTTCCTCATTTCTGCAACTCCCATGAGACCCGAGAGGTCTTCCGGGAGCGTGTCGGCTTCGTCGTCCTTTGCATCATCGGCGCCTACTGCTCCATGAGGCCGCGACACAAAAGGAAACTTCCGGGTTTCCCGACCATCCGCATCACCCGGATCTATGTAAATCTTACATAAACATAATCAAACCCTAAACCCTCACCCAAAATAGGATCCCTTTATGAGAGCTTCCTCGTTATTTCCTGTCGGAGGATTCTCGTGGAGCTGCGCTACATCCTGGAGCCCTTCCTTTGGGCATTATTCCTCGTCATGGCCCGGTGCTCATGCCGCGTCTTTCGGGTTTCATTTTCTGTGTGTAGGGCTATAGGAGATCGGTACCAAGGATTCAGGGTGTATAGGCCATAGGGAATTGGGGGTTTGCGGCATTGGGGTTCCCTAGAGTCTGCGCGGGTCGCACAAACTCGCTCCTTGTGTTTATAAAGTAGCAGACTTCTCAGCTGACACCAAGGACTATAGGCTTAAGGCTTCGTCATTCTTGCCTGGTGCGATGTGCTGGTTTGTTCGTATCATTCTCTGTTGAATGCCATGATGATTTGTGCTGATGATGGGTGTTTTTGTTCGACCCTGCCGCAGGACTTGCTTTGTCACTGGGTACGGATGCGGCAGTTGTTGCTTTCAGACCCCGGAAACCCCTAGCTCCGAGGCCTTAAACCCTGGAACCCTAATGCCTTAAAAGCCCCAACACAAGATGGCGAGGCCTGGAAACCTGTCGTGGACGGCATCGAGCTACGTCTCGAGCTGATGCCAGGGCCTCTGGTTTGCGGTTGAGGGTTTAGGGCGGTTAGGGGACTCTTCTCATAGTCGACGAGGAAGGACGGGGGATTTATGGTTCATGTATGGGGGGTTCTTATACTGTAGGCCCCTGCGCAGGGTTCTGTAAGGGTTTAGTAGGCATCACATGGGTTCGGCACAACATTTTCAATATGTGGCAGTATGTGAGACATGGACGTGGTAGCAACCTGTTCTGTTTCCGGCGCTTGCGGTGCTGCTTTGCCCTCCATGCCCCTAGTTAGTATATGTGGTATACTATATTGTATTCTTTCTTTATAATACGGTATGGTATCATATCATTTATCATTTATCATATCATATCATGTCGTATCATATCATATATCATATACCATATCATATCACATGTTTTTTTAAACAGACCTTTATACTGTATTACAGTATAATAAATTTCCATTATGATCTTCTGTTGCAACAAAGGCTGGCCGTGGCATTTCCGGGCCTGGGAAAATCCGACCTGCCAGGGGCCCAGAAGCTCTCAGTCCGATGGCTCCGCTGAGCATGGGTCTTACTAAATTAGGGTTTGTAGGGTATAATTAACTCATAATCAAAGGGTTTTGGGGTTTAGAGCCGTCTAGGGGTTTAGGGTTTAGGACCGTTTACGGTTTAGGGTTTCAGGGTTATGAGCAGTGGAACGTGTAAGAGAGGTTTGTAATCGCATTTCTCCTAGACGGTCACAGAACTCGCGCCCATGTTGCTCATCTGCATGCCCTCATAAGCTGCTTAAGAAGTACATATGGATGAATGTATGAATGAATGTATGTACGAACGCACGCATATTCGTGGTACTCTGTGGCATGTGAAAGACTTGCTCTGCCTCTTAATGTTGCTGCTGCCCGGCTACTGTAGAAGCCTGAGTAATTACCTATCTTATTCCCGAGGGTTCCTTGTTGTCACTATACTACAAAAGACTCCCAAGTCCTATTCTAATTTTGTAAGGACCTTACATTACCTGCAACCTGAGGCCAAAGGCCGTTCGGTTCCCGTGCACCAAAGGGCACGACTCGGAGGACGAGTTGGATGGCCTCGATGGACAGGGCCTGAGATTTCTGCGCAGCCTATTTCCATGCAGCATATACTGTTTGATATTATATTATAACGTGGTAATCCTGACCCCCTAATATTAAACGGGGGGGGCCCCCCCCCTCCCCCAAT